GCGGGGGCCTCGAGGAGGCAGGCGAGTCGTCTGGCCACCCCCGCCTCCGAGGCTTTCCAGCGGGACCATCCGGAGGAAAGGCAAGGTGAGTGGGACTTTGCTGGCGCAAGTGGCTCGGGGGAAAAGGGTGGGACACAAACCGTAGTGCCCCGACGGTGGGCAAGAGGAGCCCGTCGAAAGCATCTCTGGGCGAGTTTGGGCGACCAGCTGGCTACAGCCCCGGCTCCCCCAGGGCGTGCTGCCGCGTCTGCGCGGGACTGGGCCAGGCAATGAATGTGCCTTCGAAAAAGACTCTCCGGGTTCAATGGGACACCTATGCCAACCTTTTCAACGTGTTCTAGCTTACTTCACACAGGAAAGATAACACCTCCAACATTTCTTAGGAGAGCTCAGGACGGAAGAGTAAAATCATTAGGTAAAGCCACTGTAAGAGAAGTAGTAGTCAGAATTCCTCGAAATTGATTGTGATAACTGGCTGACCCTTTCAGACAGACACTGATTTATGTCAGCTTTTTTTTGGTAACCAGAGTTCTCTTCCATAGGATTTATTATTTTATCCTTTGCCTTAAATAAACCCCTGAAAAAGCAAGCCACTTTCTGAAAGGCTTCCTCTTGTGCCATTTCTAAATCGACTGCCTCTTATTGCACAATATCCACGAATTGTATAGTAAGGCTGTTTATTTAATTTACTCATTTAAACGAAGACTAACCAAGTGAGTCTGGAGCTAATACACAAAAGAGTCATGTATTCAGAAGGAGAAAGATTAGATGTATCCCAAAATGACAATATAAGGCATAAAGCAATTTAAGAAGTCAAACAATCTATAGAAACTCAGAGGACAGTGAGGTGATGTAAAAGTTACCATGGTATTGAAAGCACCTTATTTTATAATCAACATTCCAAAAACAAAATACCTAGAAAATGATTTTCATTCATAGATTGCTGCCAAGAAGAAATAGTGACAATTTTATGTGCTGGGGCAGTGGAATTGTATGTGAAATGAAAGGGTGCACACAGGCCTGTCTAGCTCTATTTGTCAGGCTAATCAGTAGAAAAGTATTATTGTTTCATTTAGAGTTGAAACTACTTGTAATTGTTGAGTAGTAACATATACATTTTTATCTAATGTTGGATATAATGCTAACATTTTAGCCCTTCAAGTTCTAAACCACACATACAGTTAATTTCCGTTAATAATAGACTATAGACATTTTTTTTAGAATTTAGGACTGTCCGTAAGAAAACATGAGAAAGAGGGAAACAACATAAATTAGTTTTCAATAATTTCTTTAGGCAAAATACACTTATATTTGTGATTAACTTTATTATTTTTTTTGTTTTGTTAAAAATATACACAGCCAGAGACATACCATTTAAACAATTTTCACATGTAGTTTAGTGACTGGCCACATTCTTCAGGTTGTGCTACCATTCTTGCAATTGATTCATGGAGATGATGCCAAAGGTAGAGGCAACCCAAAACTGGAGTCTCATCAAAAGTAAAGGCTCATGTTTGTCAAAATAATTAGTCAACAAAGTAAAGAAAAAACACTTAAAAAGTGGGAGAAAGTTTTAGAAACTACATAACAGAAACGGTTCTAATATCCAGAGTATATAAAGTACTCTCACAATTTAACAATGTTCCACTGCTGTTTATATGATTTTCACTGGGCAATTAAAAATTTATTTTTTTTTAGATTTTAATTGCCAGTTCCTTCATTTCAGGCTGTCTTAGTCTGGAAACGCCACTGAAATTTGGTCACTCTGGGAGACACTGTCTGCATTTCAAACACTTGCACCTTAGCCACCAGCATCAGAGCAATATGCCAGCTACTAAAGTACATTTGGTAAACGGAGACAATATTAAAGTTGTCAAGGATTTCATTTCAATTGGACCTCAATCAACACCCATCATAACCAGCATTCAAAAAAAAAAAAAATCAAATGACCTTAGGCAAATCTGCTGCAAAAGACCATCTGGCAATGTTAAAAAGCAAAAATGTCCCTTTAAGGACTCGGGTAATAATCCCAGCCATGGTATTCTTCATTGCCTCGTGGACATGTGAAAGCTGGCAGCGAGGAAGAAGAATGAAGAAGATGTGATACCTTTGAATAAGGGGTTGGTGAGGTCTACAGACCATCCCGTGGACTGCCAGAAGAAGGAACGGATCTGTTCAGAAGAAGTCCAGCCAGATGCCCTTTAGAAGGAAGGTTGGCGAGACTTTGTCATGTGTGCTCGGAGATGTTATTAAGAGGGACCAGTCAAGATAGAGGAACAGAGTGGCTGCAACAGTGGCTCACACATAGTACTACTTAGCAGGTGGCACAGGACTGGGCAGTAAGTATGCTGCTCTGTTGCACCTAAGGCCACTGTAAGTTGAAATGGATTCTATAGCGCCTAACAAGAGAGCAACAACTTAACAAGAACTCCCTCTCACCACTTCCCCCCTCCCCCAAACAAAAACAAAAATAAAATCAATAAAACAGGGGAAAGGACCTGAGTGGACATTTCCCTAAAGAGGATATTGAATACTCATTTTATTGCACTTAGACATTTTATGGAAAAAGAATTTTTGACAGGAATAACTTTGGCTACTTCTCTTGGTATTTTTTCATTTCTCATGAAAATAGAGCTAAAAATGTCTGGTGGATTATAAATTAAAAAATATACATTGCTATTATTTTTAATGGCACTAGCCTGTCAGAAGAATAGTAAATGTATTTTTGTTTCTTAATAGCCATGTGTTCAACATATTTAGTAAGAAAATTTGGGTTTTCATGTCAAAGCGTTTCTAGACAATTTCCCCTTTTTATAGGCAGAGTGTGATTTGAAGAAATAAGGAAGATGCTCTTATTACCAAACTTTGAAGGTCCGCCCAGGTGGTCACCATGCTGCTTATTCTTTTAGCAAAAAAACGGAGCTACAGGTGTTTTCTTAGGATTGGACAAAATAGTACAACTTTCTCAAATGATTCTGAAAAGTACCAACTCTGTATCATCTCTTACATAAAATGAGATAACTGTGCAGGCTCCAGTATGATTTGAGATCACGTTACATTAGTCATTATTGGCTTAAATTTGAAATGAAATAACTGGAACTTGAAATATGCACTTAAGAAACCAATTGCTTAATTTAGCATTAGCGATTAAATATGATACTCATTCTCAAGCTATGATGATTATTTCTTTTGATGTCTTATCTAAACACAGTACTTTTATTTAGTTCTTTTTACATAGTGTAATTTGTACCCTTAAAGATTTCAGCTTAGGGCAGTTCTACTTAATCACATGGGGTCACTATGAATTGAAAATCTATTCAAGCCTAACAACAGCAAAATGTGGGTATAGCTTTTAGGAAACCCTCAAGTTGCCAATATGGACAACTAGTATGCCATTGTGCTGTTGGGTAATAGTTTGGGATAACCATGGACTCTTGTGATTCCTAAAAACTCACTGCATTTGTATATATCTTCTGTACCTTTGTGATCCTGAATTGACAAAAAAAATGACATCTTTCTATTTTCCCAGTACCCACATTTCAGATTGAGTCTTTAGGGTTACTCATTTTAATTTCTTGGCATGAATAGTGATGATTATGAGTCAGTGCCGTATTATTCAGCCTTATTTTTTTTTCAGTAGGCAGTACTGTTTCTGGACCATTTTCCCCTCATATTTGATGAAAACTTTTTCCTCCTCTCTTCTCCAGAACAAAACATAAACAAACGTGGCTTAACCTACAGCGGACAAGAAGAACCTGTGTCCAAGTCCCATCGCTTTTCCCTGGCGTCATCTCCCAAGTCTAATGGTGCTGTTGGAAACCCAAACAGCAGATCCTCTATTTCAGAAAGCTCAAGCAAGGACGGTAACCTGTCTCCTCACCCCGGGGAGCAGTCAGGAGGGGAAGAGAGCCCCAGGTCCTTGTCATCCTCTGATCTGGAATCAGGAAATGAAAGTGAGTGGGCCAAAGACTTCACCGCCGCCAGATCTCGCCTTCTCCCAGTCTCCTTGAGACCAAGAGACCCTCTTGATATCCTTACCAAGATTTTCCCAACTTACCGGCGCAGCTGGTTAGAAGGCATTCTACAGTTCTGCAAAGGGGATGTGGTCCAAGCCATTGAACAGGTCCTCAATGGGAAAGAACACAAGTCAGATGCCAGGGAGCTAGCAAGCTCGGGAGGATCTGAACCAATGCCCTTTCAACGAGCTTCTAATTTTAGTCTAGCTGGAATTGGTTTTGGAACTCTAGGGAATAAATCAGCTTTCTCTCCTATTCAAACCACGTCTGCTTCATATGGAGGTGATTCCAGTCTCTACAGCATAAATCCGAGACTAGGTATCAGTCCATTGAGGCTGGCCTATTCCTCTCCAGGAAGAGGGCTACCTGGTTTGATGTCACCCTACTTAACGTCTGGGTTGGTACCTGCATTACCTTTCCGGCCAGCTTTGGATTATTCCTTTTCAGGAATGATTAGGGATTTTTCTTACCTGCCCAGCAAAGAGTCTTGTGGTGGACTGTATTCCAGACTCAATCAGGATAGTCATTAATATCTCTTCCCACACTCCTTTTCTGGAGGAGCTGTAGCAACATACAGCAACACACACACTGTCAACAAATGAACAAATGTAGTGTCAATATCTACAAATGGATTATTGACCTTCAAAATACTATTTTCATAAACATTAGAACAGACTTTAAATGTCTTCAGCGATTAAGTGGAGGAAACATTTGAACCTGATACGTGCCTTGAATAAAGCTATATCAAGAAATCCTTTTTACTTTATCCTAAAAAATACTCTCTAAAATATTAGCTGTAAAATTCCTATTTTAAAAATATACTTGTTTTTATTTTATTATATTAATTGGAGTATACAGTATAGTTTTAAAATTATTCTGCAAGTGTAAAGCAATAAAGTGCGCCAAAAGAAAGAGTTTGAGATAATTGAGATAATTTTAATTCTTATTTTTAAATGTTTTCTTTTCTGTTTCTTGCTCCCAAAAGAAAATAAAGCAATTCAAAATCTCTGAAGGATATTTTACTTGAATGTCAATACTCGGTTATCAGCAAACCTTTTGGGTAATGTGAAATTTTAAATTTTTGAATGTTTGGCTTTTATTTATATATGCAAATCTGTGAAAATAATTGCCATTAGATAATAATTGTCATTTCTTCCTCTCTAAAATGAACATTGATTTACCCACCTGCCTTAGAAAGGCATCTTCGAAAATGAGGGTGCGCCATCTCCTGGCCACTATCACCAATTGCAATTCAGTTATAGATATTATGAACGTTTTTTTTTTTTTTAATCATTTTATTAGTATGAACGGTTCTTAAAGAAGCTAATCAGCTTCGGAAGAGGTCCTTTTGATCATGTTACCTAGAAAATCTCATAAAGTGAACAGCTACTGTGGAGGATCGTTGTAATGTTTCAGTGTGTGTCTACCTGTTTCCATGTGCTCCTGAGGACAAGGCACTCTTGACAGACGAGCCTACTGTCCATCAGAATATTGGCGTCTTTGTTCACATGCATACTGATTCACATTTGAAAGACAATGCCTAATGTCCTGAGGAGAAGGATTTTCCAATGAAGACCTTACCGTTAAATGTTTTCATGAGTTTTCGAAGATACTTTTCCTCTCTGTCGAGTGTTAGAACCTCCCCCCACCCGCCGGTTTCCCTTTAAGTTCACAAGAAGACTGCTTACAAAATAATTTGATAATTTTTAAACTGTGTCATTATTTTTAAAAAAGGAAGTGATTGTATAATTATTGTTAGGATAACCGGAAATCCAGCTGGACTGTAGGAGAGTTGGTGAAGCAGAGATGGTTTAAAAACTTGGACAGCATGATTCACTAGAGGCTTTTATAAGTTATATTTTTCTCACTCTATAGCGTTACCAGTTCTATTGTCATGGCGAACCTTCCATAAGCCAATTAGAATGTGTTTCTAAAGTATATTTTACCAAGAAACAGCAGATTAAATCACTGTAAATTGTGTGGTGCTGTTAAGCACATGCATTCGTTATGGTGGTGCGAATGTGAAGGAAAAGAACGTGGGTTTACTATATTTGTTTACTATAAAACTAGTTGGAATTTGGAGCCTAAGCCACTGCCCGATGCCTGGCAGGTAGCTCATATTGCTTTGAATACAGTTTTCCATACGATTTCATAGGGTTAATGAAGCTCTTAGATGCCATTCAGGTTAGAATTCAGAGATTCTAAAGTTATTTCTATGGCATTAATTGATTTGCTGAATGCTATATATTTCAAAACTCCTGGGCTCAATCCTTTGGAGGATACCAAGTGTTAACCATTTCACTCTCAAGGAATGACATCATTTAAATCATACAGCAATGCTAGGGTTGGGGGACTTTTTTTTTAATGTGGTTATTTTCATTATGGGCATCTATCTTTTTGAGAAACTGAATTACTTTTGAATTGGAAGGAGCATCCACTTTCAGAATCATTTAAATTTGTGAAAGTAATTTTAAAATACTAAAACTTAAGGTTTTTTTAAATATTGCAGAAGTTCTGTATACAACTTTATGCATTAAGATCCTTTAAAATAATTTTAAGTGTAAAGAGCTTTATAGAATTAATCCTTTAGTCTAACGGCTTAATTGAATGGGAAAGAACTGAGAGTCAGCGATAGTGTTGTCCATCTCTGACGTTAATAGTAATAGCGTGAGTCATAGGATCTGAAGTGGCTTACCTCACCTATTTCAATTGGACTAGGGTGGAGTTGCTGTGTGATGCAAATGCTTAATGTGCTTTGCTACTAAGCAAACTATTGGAGGTTGAGTCCACTCAGAGGCACTTTGGAAGAAAGGTATGCTGGTTGACTTTTGGAAAATTAACTGTTGAAAATCCCGTGGAGCACAGTTCTATTACTCACGCACGCAGATCTGCCTTTTATGATGAGTCCACGTGAACTCAACAGCAACTAGCGGTAATACCTAAGATTGGAAGGAATTCTCCTGTTTGTTTACAGCTTCAATACAGTGTGTGGTACAAAACAAAGCAATAACATCAGCAAAAACAATACCACTGCTATCATGCCGATTCCAGCTCATAGTGACCTTAGAGAGAGTTCCTGGATCTTGAGGGAAGCAAAGAGCCCCGTCTTTCTCCTTTGGAATGCCTGGTGGGTTTGTACTTGCCACTTCGCAGTTAGCCCAATGCGTAGCCCACAGTGCCACCAGGGCTCCTTGTCTGGTATCTACGCATCCATCGCCATCAAGTTGGTTCCTACTCATAGCAACCCTATAGGACAGAATAGAACTGCTCCCCAGAAGTCCAGAGACTGTACATCCCTACAGAAAGCGAGCTGTTTCTCAGCCCAATGTCTACTTCACAGCACCTCTGGGGTTCCTAGTGTGGTACATCAACAGGTGCTTAATTAATGGGGTTTCATTGATTAAATGAAATGAAAGATAAAGAATCAGCCTAAGAATTCATTCATTCTTCAGTCACTTTATTAAGTACCTGTCTTTGTCAGGCACTGTGCCAGACACGGGATAAAGAGAGCAATAAGACAAAGGACCTTTTCTCAACTTGTTCACCATCTATCTGGTCATGAGACCACAAATAGCCAACCAGCCGATATTGGCACTATTTGACTCCATTGTACATCATGGAATTCTTTGTTATCTTGACATTTCTGCTCATTTACTGCTTGAGGCCTAAACTAACCAGGGGTGGGAGGGAAGAGAGGTAGATATGTAGTTTGCCCAGGGAAGTCTATTCCGTTGATATGAGAGGTGAACAGACTTCAGGTTTGTAGTGAAACTTGTGGGGAAAGGAGAAAAGGAGTAAAATGATCAGTGGAAGCTGTTGTGGAAGTAACCCCAGCCCTTTCAGGGCCTTCTGGATCAGAGTTATTGCCCATGCTTGGATTGGCCTCTTGGTCTCTATGTTTTTTTGGAAAATGGGCTGGAGTTAAGGGGTTGTGAGTCAAATGATGAATTGCTTTTTCTCTGAAATTTCTCGTGAGACGAGGATCCTGAAGATTTTAGAATCCCGCCTCCTAGAGATTCCTACCTGTGAACTTGGAATGAAGATACTTGTTTTTTGCAGTGATTTCTCCATTCAGTTTACTTCTGAATATCCTTCTTTGGGTGATGTTCATTCCTCTTTGAACCACATCGAATCTTTATTGACTACCCTATAACTTTAATCCTAAAGTATATTAAAGGGTAGGGGAACGGGAGAAGGTAAAATGAATTGGTAAAGATGGCACACACGCTTATATCAAAATAAGGATTACACACTCATAAAGTCTTCAATGAGCTCTGGTGGTGCATTGTGGTAAGCACTGGGCTGCTAACCAAAAATAAGTGTTTCAAACCCATCAGTCACTTTTAAAAAAGGTCATTTTTGGGGGGCACTCTTACAGATATAACAATCCACAATTCAAGTTGATCAAGCATAATTGTGCAATTGCTTCCACCATCAGTTTCAAAATATTTTCTTCTTGAACTCTTTAATATCAGCTCCACTTTATCACCTCCCTCCCCATCCTACCCCTGAGGAACCCTTATGATTATATTACATATTATTATTATTTTTGTCATCTGTTACACCATCCAATGCATCTGTTCATCTACAATTCTGTTATTCGTTCCCCTCAAGTGGGGTTGTACAGTAATCATTGCTATCAGTCCCCCCTTCCCTCCCCCTCTTTTCCTGTATGCTCAGGGAATCATTACTCCCTTTACTGTTTCTGAAGCGTTTATCTCTCTTGGATTTCATGCATCAAACAATCTTAATTATACAAATGAAGATGCAGGTCGGACAAGATTAATGAGGTAAAACAGATCATAATAGTAATGGGAGGAAATATTAAAGAACCAGAGGACAGTTATATGTCTTATCAGTTATATACTGCACCCTGTATATATTATCCCTTTCAGTAGCCCTTCTGTGAGGGACTGTCTAATCATCTTACAGGTGGGTTTTGGGTTTCCACTTTGTCTATGCTCCTTCACGCCAATTTGATTGCTTGATTTTGAACTTCAGATAACTATTCCCATCTATACCTCATGATCACACAGGCTGGTGTGCTTCTTACAGGTGGGCTTTGTTGCTTCTCTGCTAGATGGTCGCTTGTTTAACTTCAAGCCTTAGGACCCCAAACACTATATCTTTTAATAGCTGGGCATCATCAACTTTCTTCACCACATTTGCTTATGCATTCATTTTGTCTTTAGCGATCGTGTCTGGAAGGTGAGTACCATTCAGTGCTACATTATTAGAACAAACCGTTCCTGTATTGAGATAAGATTTAAGTAGATGTCTAAAGTCCATCTGTTTCCTTTGTGTGTGTGTATGTATATAAATACTCATATACATATCTATTTTTATACCTATATATAATTTTTACTTTCTGGTTGTTTTTCTTTTTTCTTTCCTCCTGCCCTACTATCATGTTTACCCATTGTTCACCTCTCAGTAGTTCCTCTTGGATACATTTCAATTGATCAAACATGACCAGACATGCTACACCCTCCTCACTGTCAATTTTAGATCCCTTGCTGTTACCCTACCCTGTCTTTCTTGGCTTACTGCTCCCCTTCCCCCGCCTCCTCCTCTCCCATTCCCCACCCCTCCCCAACTGTGGGTCCATTGCTGTCTCCTTGGGATTGCTTATCATGCCTATCTTACATAGATGAACACCAAGAGAAAAAGGAGAGAGAGAGAGAGAATACAAATAGTTCCAAGTCTAACTGTTGTCCTGCCCCAGATGAGTATCTCTGTAAACAGAGTATGTTCAGTGTTTGTGGCACTGCCACACTGCTTTCCAAAGTGGTGGTCTTTCTTTTTCATGACCCCAGCAGCGTCTGGGGGTTATGCTTTCTCCATGTCCTTGCCAACTTTTGTTAATAGCTGACTGATTTTATTCTAACCACTCTGGAGGGTGTGAAGTGGTATCTTTTTGTGGTTTTGATTTGTGCTTCTCTAATAACTAATGCTGTTAAGCATATTTCATGTATTAAT